ATGTTTCTGGCTCTTCTCAGAAATTGGACTGACTGAATGAAATTTCTTAAAATCCTGAATTCCGTCTGGGAACACACACACACACACACACACACACACACACACACACACGCACACAAACGCACAAACACACACACACACACGCACAAACACACACACACACATACACACATACATACACACAAATACACACACACGTTGAGCTTTGCCAATCAGGATTACTTTCTTTACCTGCCAAAATTGTTTTATCACTTCCATCGAAGTCAGAGTAATCCTCACCTTTTTCTGGTTCTCTGCCTATATATATAATTATCCTATAAAATGTAATGTTATGACACCTGTTTCTAACGGGTAAGTATTCCTATCTTTTTTTACTGGTTTGTCTCAACTGTTTTCGGTTATTGACCCTTTGTTATCATTAGCATCTTCAATGTCTCTAAATGTTATCTAACGGACCTAATTACAATACCATTCATGCCACAAATAGAGCAGATTCGATCCCTTGCAGAAAACACTTTATGGTAAATCTAACGCATACGTCAAACTTTGTTATTACGTGTCGCGCTGACCCCAACAGAATGTTTTGTGAAATTATCTCTACAACCTCTGCGTCATTACAGTATATGAATTGAGTCTAATAAACTAAATGCCTTGTTTCTCGTCGCAATAAAGCTACTAATGTCGGAAGGATCCTAACTGTCTCATTGGTTTGCATGATGGACTCGCAATAGATAGGGAGTGGGTTCGAATCTTAGATCGGATCAAATCAGGTCTACTGCCGTGATATATCCTTGAGCACGGAACTCTACTCTAGGTAACTAAATACTATATAACCTAACTGTGTTTATGTGCCCTAGAATAATAAACCAAACGTACATACTTGTTCTGGAACGCAGGAATTAATTTGCAAAAATATATAAGTACTAAGTAAATGCATTGTCACATTTGATTAATGCTAATGAATTGGAAACGTAGAAAGATAATAATTGTTTTTACTATGAATCTCATGTCTCCATTCATTAGTTATTTTCATACTTGTATCATTGTATCTCATGTCTCCATTCGTTAGTTATTTTCATACTAATATCATTGTATCTTATGTCTCCATTCGTTATTTATTTTCATGCTTGTGCCATTGTATTTCATGTCTCTATTCGTTAGTTATTTTCATACTAATATCATTGTATCTTATGTCTCCATTCGTTATTTATTTTCATGCTTGTGCCATTGTATTTCATGTCTCTATTCGTTAGTTATTTTCATACTAATATCATTGTATCTTATGTCTCCATTCGTTATTTATTTTCATACTTGTATCATTGTATTTCATGCCTCCATTCGTTAGTTGTATTGATACTAGTATCACTGAATTTCATGTATCCATTCGTTAGTTGTATTGATACTAGTATCACTGAATTTCATGTATCCATTCGTTAGTTGTATTGATACTAGTATCACTGAATTTCATGTATCCATTCGTTAGTTTTTTTGATACTAGTATCATTGTATCTCATGTTTCCATTCGTTAGTTATTTTCATGCTAATGTCAATGTAGACCCTTAATACTCACATCCTACCTCATATTGTCTCAGTCATAGACCGGTGTCATTTACATATACGTCATCACAACTCATAATGTCTCAGTCATAGACCGGTGTCATTTACATATTCGTCATCCCACCTCATATTATCTCAGTCATAGACCGGTGTTATTTACATATACAACATCTCACCTTATAGTGTCTCAGTCATAGACCGGTATCATTTACATATACGTCATCCCAACTCATAATGTCTGAGTCATAGGCCGGTGTTATTTACATATTGGTCATCCCACCTAATAGTGTATCAATCATAGACCGGTGTCATTTGCGTGTACGCATATGTCGTTTATTTATGACAGCATATACGAAGTTCTGACAAAATTATTCAATATTTTTGCCATTTGCATTATCTTTTCAAGCATTTCCAAAACAAAGCACCAAACATTTTTCTTTTTTACACACGTGTACATAATGGACAAGGAAACCACAAAGTTTATTCCAATATTCTCAGTTATTTTCGAGGAGAGAATGATATAGAGTACTGACGAAAAACCAAAGGACATAGAGTTTGTCATAATAGTGACGACAAGATTTTTTTTATAATGCTGGCAAATATCAGTACCAAAAACAATGTCAGCTGTTCGCGGCAAGGGAATATTTTAAAAAATATATTCAGATTATCGTTTCTACTCTGAGCTATTTATAAATTATGCCTATTTTGTTTGTTCGCTTTGACGATTTTTTTCGGGTTCTAGAGATGGAGTGGGTGTTGCATTAGTAACTTGTTTAAACTAGAAAAGAAATTTGACAAGCTGTAATCTTTTTTAAACGTGAACGCAGCCGCTATATATTTTCAAAGCAAATTTGAGATGAATATGCCCAATTTAATGATCTCAAAACGCAGCTACTCGGCCTACAAAACTCAACCATTAAGAGTGTCATAAATAAGATCAAAGAAAACACTAACTATATAGCAAGGTACTTTTTTAAATTCAGTCTTGCTCATATAGGCTTAGATCAGATTTTAAAATATATTCAGGAAACCCTGTTCGAATAACGAATATCGTCATTTTCATTAAGAATGGTGTGTGTGTTTGTATGTGTGTGTGTGTGTGTGTGTGTGTGTGTGTTTTGGAAATGTATGACTGAATGCAATTTTAATATCAAAGGCGACAACCAAAGAAATTGTAAAGTAAACACAGTAAATCTCGTCCATGGCTTTTTGAGACGGCAAGAATAATGATCTGAAGCATCGTTATTAGTAATCAATTTCCACAGACAATGCCATTTTCAAAAGAAATAGTACAGACACTTATGGTGATTTACTACTACGTCATGTAAGTCAGATTATTTCAGAGATTAAAAGCAGATAGTTTGACGACATTGTTCGGAATTATTTCTTGAATATTTACTAACTGAAATGACCGATTCTCGATGACACGTCTTTCCATGTAGTTTTAATTCTACGATAACTGATTCTCGATAATTTGTCTATGTAGTTTTAATTGTACGATAACTGATTCTCGATAATTTGTCTATGTAGTTTTAATTGTACGATAACTGATTCTCGATAATTTGTCTATGTAGTTTTAATTGTACGATAACTGATTCTCGATAATTTGTCTATATAGTTTTATTTGTACAATAACTGATTTTCGATATTTTGTCTATGTAATTTTAATTGTACGATAACTGATTCTTGATAATTTGTCTATGTAATTTTAGTTTTACGATAACTGATTATACAATACGGTTCATGGAATAAAACAAAACTTGTTTGCTTAAGAGTTCTTCCACTTTTCCTAAAATCTTTCAGATATACGACTAAAACAATTACATCTTTACTTTCTGAAAGAATATAAAACCTTGGTGGAAATAGAAAACCTCTGCTTATTTTGACAGGTGTGTGCTCCTTAGTAAAAACAACTTTGTGCATGTTTGCCGCTCCGCAAAAGGCAGCACGTTTATTTTATTTGAAGATTTTATCACTTGAAGTTTGAAATACTAAGAAAGCCAAATAATTATATTGTCGTCGATAAAAAGTAGCTCTGACTTCAGCTTACAGAAGATAAAACCTAAAAACGAGCAACCGACTTCAATTTCAGAACAAGACAGCGATAGCGTCTAATGCAACTGCCTAAATATCTAAGGTTGTGTCGTCCTGCACATGCATATGTACAATCCACCTGCAAATTCGTACCCCACATTGGTCTGTTCGAGCTATGTATGAGCTAATTTTATAGGACTTTTTTTATTTTAGACGAATTCTATTTTTAACTGGCATGATTTTAAATTAGAATGGTTACTAGCTTCTTTCGCGATTTGTTTTTATTTCTTGGCAAAGTTACTAAGGCCGCAAACGTATGGAGTGTACGCAATGGACAGGAATCAACCTGTTAAGAATTATCGTTTGGTTTAGCAAGGTCAGTACGTTCAAGAAAAACTCACAAAACAAAACGACAAAGCGCATAATAAAAACTTTTAGATGAATGACTGAAAAGTGTCTACGAGATGTATTATTGGATTTCATGCAGAAATTAATTCCGAACGCACCATATTCACGTGGTTTAGTACATTCTTTAATAGTGTCAACTGTAACTGAGCATTTTATTTAAGAAAAGGCAGAGGCTGTTCTTAACAGCTAGTTTTGTATTTGAGAATAATACATCGGTAGTTTATGCACGAAACTATGTGGTCGATTGTTAGACATTAATATCTGTCCAATATGAGACATTTATTAGTGCTTGTTAGAATTTGGAAGCTATTATTTCGCGGGAGATGTGGCAGTTAACTTCATACTAAAATCTCATAACAATGCAATGCGTCTGATTACCTCCACAAATAACACACGTCAAATGTTATATTAATAAGTTCCATTCAAAAGGTCCAGTTAATAATCAGAAAGAGAAATAATAAATCATGGGACTTATAGAGGCTATCGGTGTATTATGTGTAGTAATGGATGTGTCTTCGAATAAGGACGGGGTTGTCCAAATTTTACTGCAGTATCGATAAAGTGGGGAACTATTTTCTCTTGCTCAGGCATAAATCCAGCATGCTACGTGCTGACTACTATGGAGCATCAGGTGTATATATGGCATTGCAAGATGCGCGGAGTAAAATAAATTACATTGATCCCTCGTTTTTTAAATTTGTGTGGAGTAAGTGCAGACATTTCACTTAATGCTAGCAAGCCATTGAATACTTTCCTTGATATCAGTTTTAAAGAAGAATCATTATTAAATATAAAGATGTAGAGAAGCTAAATGACAAGAAAGCAACATGTGTGATTCCTATTTCACATCAAACTACAAAAGAGATCGTTATTGTTGTAGAGCACAAGATAAACTATACATGGCGGCCAGTATAAATGGTGGAGGAAGAACACTGGAAAACCCCCAGAAAGAACCATCGACCCACGAGAAGCTATTGGCAAACCTTCTCACATACCTACATTGGCCGAATCCGAGATTTGAACTCACGTAGACAGAAGTGAGATGGCAGTGATCTGTAACTTTAGACCACTCAGCCATTCGGATCCCCTAGAGGTATGCAGAAAGGTAATAGTTAATTCTTTTTTTTTTTTGAGAATGACCTATTTTCTGTTGGGACAACAGAATGGGCTACAGATCAAGATTGTATGCGCTCGCCTGTTTACTAATTGACAAGAATCGGAATTCAGTTCGAACTTCATGATTGACCCCGAAGGAAGCCAAACATTATACTTAGCATAAAGCGTAATAAGCTTAAGAAGGCAGTACCAGTCGAAAACTAATTAGCAAATATATAATTCTTGCTCAAAATTCACTTAGCAGATGGAATAAACGCACGTGTGGTTTCTATCAAAAAGAATAATTAGTTAGCCATATCTGACGTTTGGAATGCATCAGTGGATGCAGGCCTGAACCTAGGCAGCATACAAGGCCCAAGGCACCAAATTCGATGAGCAGGGCCCCAGGAGAGAAAAAAACAACTTGCATTGCGGAATTTATTTCCGTCAGCAGCGCGGGGCCCCTGAAAGTAGTGCCGTCTTAACAAAATTATAGGCTCTGGAGAAAACAATGAAATGGAGCCCCCTACCGGATCAACTATTCGTTAAAAATTTGGGCTGCATGAATTCCCTAGAAGCGTGAGGTCTAGCGTGTCCATGCCTTAAGACGGCACTGGCTGAAAGCGCGGGGCCAAAGGCAGTTGACTCGTTCGCCTTGCCATTGGGCCGGGCCTGAGTGGATGCCTAGAATATACAAACTGTCTCAATCAAGCAAGATCCTAAATTTTCTATTTTTTGTTCCAGGATAAGAACGATTGCTGACATAAGGGTTCATGGATTTGCATAAATCTAATAAATAGGTAGCATTACCGATGCAAGCAAATAGAACTAGCCTTACTCTTGTAAGTAAATAGCACTGTATCAATTGTTTTATACGGCTATCGTTAACATTATCTTTACCAGTTTTGTTTGCATTACATTCGTCGTTGAAACACTGTTAGATTAATTTATATATATAAAAGAAAAATAGTAATAGAAACAATTTACTCACGTGAGGCACATGTGCTATCCGTATGATATTGTTTATACAGCTCGAAACACGTGTAGCTTTCGCGACATAAATTTGCACTTAAATACCATTCCAAGTCGATAGCAGTGCATCCCTCAACTTCCAGCACGGCTGTGCAAGTTTACATTATGCAGCTTCAATAACGACACACAAATTTTTTGAATTGAAATAAATAGAACAGTATGCAGACACGATTAGCATCCGAATATACATAGATAATCCAACCAATTAAGCTGTTGTTCTATTTTTATTCCGATAAATCTATACTGAAGCCAAAATTGTCATGATGCAATAAGTAACGTGGAAGTTTCTCATTTCTGCACAACATTCCATTAGCAAAAAACAGCCTCAATAAATAAGCTCAGTATTAACTACTGAACAAGTTCTTGGCCTCTCTACTGTATCTTTATGCAACAAAGTACTTTCATAGACAAAAGTTCAGCTTCCAGACTTCCATAGTGATATAATCCAACGACAAATTCCAGAGACGATGTTCATCTTTCACTGAAAAAGTAAAACCGAAATTTAATTTTATTTAAAATCAAGCAGATCAAATTCATAATAATTTAGACATATCAAAGGAAATGGATGATCCATGACAGAGTTGCAAATTTTTCACATATGAATTTTCTTTAGATGATAATTTTATCAGTAAAACATTTGCTAATAAAGCGCGATAACAACGGATGGAAGAGTAAAACAAAAATATGTGATGTTTATCTTTCTAACCATCCCTGGAAATTTTAACATCTGTTGCACTAGACTTACTTCTGGCTTGATAATTAGCCACTTAGCAAACTTTTAGAACACACTATTAGCCTTCTAATGTATTTAATATGAATGAAATAATGCATTCAGAAGAGAAATCTCCAACTCCACTGGCTTCTGCAACGGAATTACTTCCGTCTTTGAAATTGTTGTAAGACGATTAAGTTCCATATCATCTCTACGGAACATTGTTCCTATTTATCCTCCTGAAATACAAGTCACATGTAACCGTTGTCCAAATGTAAACACTTTCCTTAATCAATAATGCGATAAGACGACTTTGGGATCTAATGAGGAACCGTCTGAACTCGCTTATAAGACGAGTCCAACTGCAAATTGCACAGACCCAGATCCGCTGTAGCATGATGGACCGGCAAACCTGGTTCTGTGCAGTTTGTTAGGAGTAATCAGTAGCACAGATAGCATAGACTTTAACCCGCATTTACGATACGGCAGGTCAGAATATTTGTTGTTTGCAATTTTACTTGTCTTAAAAGGGAGTAGAGACGGTATTACTCATTGGCTCTGCAAAAAAAAAAATCACTAGCTTCAGGAAAATAGAGTATTGAATTTACGATTACAACTTTAGATGATATGAATTGTTCGAGAACAGATGCACTTAAATACCAGTTTTCATGCTGATTTTCCTGGGTTTTCCAGGGTCCTTCTACCAGCAGTTGAAATTGCCTAAATTATATAGCCTGCCTTGTGCTGAAGAATGGCGCTAAACCCAGTAAAAACAACAACAACAACCATTCTGATTTTACGGTGGGGATTATAGACCATCAAATCATGACTGGATTATTTCGCTCCAGCTTTGTCTTTTTACTATCATTTTATTATTATTATTATTATTATTATTATTATTATTATTATTATTATTATTATTATTATTATTATTATTATCCCGAGCTAATGGCAAAACACGTGTTTTCATTCCTGGTCTTTCTAGTTTAAGGTTAAACGGTACAATCATTATTGGCCACATTGTAACAAATAGACTAGACAATCATTATTGGCCACATTTTAACAAATAGACTAGATAATTATTATTGGCTACATTGTAACAAATCGACTAGACAATCATTATTGGCCACATTGTAACAAAAAGACTAGACAAATAAGTAAACATGGTCAGATGAAATTTTGTGTCAATCGTAACATATTTCTGCAATATGAGTTTCATCATATACCATCTGATATCGATTGACAATGTCTGTATGACTGTACCAATCTGATATCGATTGACAACGTCTGTATGACTGTACCAATCTGATATCGATTGACAACGTCTGTATGACTGTACCAATCTGATATCGATTGACACAGTCTGTATGATTGTACCAATCTGATATCGATTGACACAGTCTGTATGATTGTACCAATCTGATATCGACTGACAGAGTCTGTACGATTCTATCTATCTATCTATCTATCTATCTATCTATCTATCTATCTATCTATCTATCTATCTATCTATCTATCTATCTATCTATCTATCTATCAACCTACCTACCGACCGACCAATCTACATACTTACCTACCTACCTACCTACCTACCTACCTATCTATCTATCTATCTATCAAGATCTATTGGTTTATTTTCCCTATATATGTGTTATTTATGGATCATTTATATATTCTCTGGTTCAGTCTTTATATCTGTGTTATTTATGCATGAAGACTTACAATTTTGGACCAACGAAAACAAAGAGGAAATGTATCATTTTTATTTTAAACTTCACTTGGCAAGCGTAAGCGTCATTCTAAACTATCATTAACAGTTACACTCAGTTTCTATCTGCTCAGTGCTTTGTTTGCCTTCGTTTCAAGTTTGGAATTATAACTCGATGTCATTTGTCTTTATACGGAACTGATGCTGTGAAATAAATGATTGCTTCAAGTCATTTCCAAATTCATTTCGTAATTAGCAGCTTGGTAGAACACACATTTCCTAGCTACAAATAAGGACAAATAGGACAACTGGATTAAATCATTTTAATTATTGTGTACTTGACTTGTCGTATCATATTCGATCATGCTGATTGATAGCATCATGCACAACCGTTTGTAACACAACACCTTTTAAAAATGTAAGCACTAGGATGGCTGGGGCGGCTGGTCTTAGAATAAATATTACTGCCCTCAATTTTACGTAAACAAAACATTGGCGCCTCAGCCTCAGAAATGTTTCGCCGGGGTGGGGTGTGTCATACATGTAGTTGTCAGCTATTAAGTTTTACAGATGTAGGTCAACATAGGTTTGTAGCTAAAATGCAGCAGGGGAGTGCTCCTCACCCACACCTTTGCCCCTAAGTGCAGGTACTCATAAAAAAACAACCCGAAACATAATCTAAAACTCCATACCAGTAAGGATGTCTTCGGATGTCTTCTTATGTCTTCGGCATCTTATCCGTCCCTATGATTTAAACTGACGGCTTTAATTCCTCAGGTTATCTATGATTTTGAATGACGTTCATTCTATATAACACAAAACATACCTATGTATCAAGCAGAGATACACTTATCCCGACTTGTAGATATAATGTGCGTGCTAAGGAGAACGTTGCTTTAAATAAAGACTAGATATATGACTGAATCTCAAGTTTTAAAGAGTTGTCTCTCTTAACCTTATTATTAATTGTTATCAAAGTACAGGATTAAATTAGATACACGATAAATAAAATACAAAAGACAAAACAACTATATCACTATTGTTACGTATTCGCTTGTTTAAAGTAACAAGGAAAGATTAACTACAACAAGCTTTGTAAATTTTAACAAAATAATTTATATCCTTAGAATATACGGAGAAAAGGTAAACTTATGACTTATGAAGAAGATCCATTTTTTTAAGTTGTGAAAACACATCAGTCTTGTGAATAAACAGTTCTAACTTCACAGTCTGAATCTCAGTTCCGTTCCAAGATGGCGGATAAGGATGTCAGACGAAGGTTAACATAAAAATGTCCAGAATTTTCACTGTGAATCACAGTTTGTATTGTTTTTTTTTCCAAGTTAGAAATAATTTCAGAAATTGTCTTTGTCCAAAGCTAGTTGGGTTATTCTCCTTTTAAAATAATTATTATTTAGAAAGTAGATCAAGTATAGCTACCACAACTAATAATACACATGTTGTTCCTCAAACGTACGAACGAACAACTCTTTAACAGCACAGAAATACCTTTTATGGTAATAGAAACTATACAAGA